TCATGAGCAGTGAAGGGAGGAAAGTGCTTGAAGAATGGAAGACTCAGTTTGCGGTCAACGAGCGAGATGGACAGCCTTTCTGCTTGCTCTGGAATAAAATACTGTCAAATAATGTCAACAAGCATTTCGATACCACACATGAAACTCTTGACATGAAATACCCATCTGGATCTCAGCAAAGAGCTTTAAAGATAACTAGTCTTGAAAAAATGCCATTGTTGAACAGAATACATGCGAGCTAGCTTAAAAGTGTCTCAGGCCGCGACATTAGCAATGTTAAAAATGTCCTGGCTCCTTGCTGAACACGACAAACCATTCAGTGACGGAGAGCTGGTCAAGAACTCACAATGTCTGTTTGATGACCTGAGCAACAAGAGCGAGATCATTCACAGGATAAAACGTTTACAGCTCAGCAATGACACAGTTACTCGTCGAATCTCTGAAATGTCTGAGAATTTGACAGAACAGCTAAAAACTAAGCTAGCCACAGCTTCAGCACTCAGTTTGGCTGCGGATGAATCGACGGACATCGGAGATGTTGCTCAGTTTTGCATTTGGGGGAGATGTGTGTATTCTGAGTCTTTTGAGGTTACAGAAGATTTATTGGCATTGAAGTCGCTACAAGAACGAACAAGACGAGGACATTAATGAAGCACTTAGTGAAGCATGCAAAGACATGAACGTACCCGAACCCTCAGTTGTCTCCATCACTACCGACGGTGCGTCCTCAATGACGGGAAAACTCAAGGGTCTCGTTGCTGAAATGAGGAAAATCTCCCCTGACTTGTTGGCATTTCACTGTATTGTAGATCAACAAGCACTATGGAGCAAGTTAGTGGATGGAGACTTCGTGGAGGTTATGAACACTGTGGTCAAGCTGGTCAACTTCATTCGAGCGCGGCCTCTAATGCTCTGCCGTTTTATGACGTTGTTGGGCGAACTGGACATAAGCTTGCGGAGACCTCATCCTGCACAGTGAAGTGAGATGGCTAAGTCGTGGAAAAGTCTTGCATCGCTTTCTGGCTGTACTCCCCGAGATAGTCAACTTTCTTAATGAAAGATTTCCAGTCTTGAGAGACAACGAGTGGAAAACAAACGTTGCTTTTCTTTCTTTCAAACATTTTTCTTTCTTTCAAGGCTGTATCTCAATACTAGTCCTACTTGATCTTAGCGCTGCGTTCGACACTATAGATCATATAATACTCTTGGATCGACTACAAAACTTCACCGGTGTCCAGGGACAGGCATTAAGCTGGTTTAGAATCGTACTTATCGGACCGTTCTCATTTTGTCTGTTTAAATGGGAAAAAATCAAAGATAACGTCAGTAGACTATGGAGTACCGCAAGGATCGGTTTTAGGCCCTCTGCTATTCTCAATATATATGCTGCCACTTGGTAATATTATAAGAAAACATGGAATTAATTTCCACTGTTACGCTGACGACACTCAATTATATATTTCATCACGACCAGATGAAAACACTAACTCATCTAAAATGACAGAGTGTCTCAAAGATATAAAATGCTGGATGACGCGTAATTTCCTGCTATTAAATTCAGATAAAACGGAGGTATTACTTATTGGTCCAAAAAACTACTCACAAAACCTCTCACAATACAACTTTAATATAGACGGATGTCCTGTTACTTTATCCACTACAGTAAAAGACCTGGGTGTTATACTAGACCGCAACTTGTCGTTCGAAAATCATATTTCATATGTTACAAGAACAGCCTTTTTCCACCTTAGAAACATTGCTAAGCTACGTAACATGCTATCTATTTCTGATGCTGAAAAATTAGTTCACGGATTCATGACCTCGAGACTAGATTACTGTAATGCTTTATTAGCCGGTTGTCCTGCATCCTCAATAAACAAGCTACAGTTAGTACAAAATGCAGCTGCTAGAGTTCTTACTAGGTCAAGAAAATATGATCATATAACACCGATTTTATCATCTCTACACTGGTTACCTATTAAGTTCCGCATCAACTACAAAGTACTACTACTGACCTATAAAGCCCTAAATGGTTTAGCACCTATGTGTAACCCCTCACACCCGGGTCCTACTCGCCCCGCTCCGAGCGGGCCTCGAACCCGGGTCTCCGGCATGAGAGTCAGGCGCGCTAACAAGGAGGCTAAAGACTGCAGCCTCTAGCATCTGTCGCTAGAGCGCCTATTGAGATCGGGGAGTGAGGTTTACTCGCACAGCAACTACTAGCTGGCCTCCGTTACACTCACCCCCCTAAACCTCACTCTCATCCGGGTCACGGCACCAATGTAACCCCTCACACCCGGGTCCTACTCGCCCCGCTCCGAGCGGGCCTCGAACCCGGGTCTCCGGCGTGAGAGTCAGGCGCTCTAGCAAGGAGGCTAAAGACTGCAGCCTCTAGCATCTGTCGCTAGAGCGCCTATTGAGATCGGGGAGTGAGGTTTACTCGCACAGCAACTACTAGCTGGCCTCCGTTACATATGTACTTAAGGGACCTTCCTTCGCCCTACAATCCACCGCGTTCCTTAAGATCACTAAATTCAAGGCTTCTGGTCATTCCTAGGATATCGAAGTCCAGTAAAGGAGGGAGGGCGTTCTCGCATTTAGCTCCAAAACTCTGGAATGGCCTTCCCGATACGGTCCGAGCCTCTGACTCGCTGACACAGTTTAAAACTAGATTAAAGACGCATCTCTTTAGTCAAGCATTCACATAATGCTTACCTTCTAGTCCTCTGTTATGCCATACGGAACCGTTTGCCACTGAAACTGCTTAACGCACCAGTGGGGCTCGACAGCCTCTTAGACAAACGGGTCGGCGCGTATGGTTGGGTTGCGGAGAGTTCGGGTTACGGAGAGTTTGTGAGTTATAACGGAAATCATTATGAACATCAGCTATGCTAATTATTTCCCATCTGCCTTTCTGCTGTTATCTCGGGACGCTTGTCCCGAGAAAAATGGCGTTCGTCAGGTCCAGTTTTGTGTCCAGCCTCTCACGGGGATTTCGGATGCCCCAACGCCTGTGATGAGACGACTCAACGCCTGTGATGAGACGACTCAACGCCTGCGATATGTTATGGCGCCGTTTGATTCATAAACAATATTTATATTTAATATTTATATTTAAACAATATGAATGTAAGCCAGAGGAGAACTGGCCCCCGACTGAGCCTGGGTTCTCCCAAGGTTTTTTCTCCATCCAATCTGATGGAGTTTTGGTTCCTTGCCACTGTCGCCTTGCTTTTGGCTTGCTTTGAGCTTGCTCAGTTGGGGTTATTTAGTGTTTAGCAATGTTGTTGATCTGTGTTGTGCTACTTTCATGTTATCACTGTGAAGCTGCTTTGATACAATCTGTATTGTGAAAAGCGCTATATAAATAAATGTGACTTGACTTGACAAGTTCGTTGTCTGAATATTACACTGAATGAGGAGACACGTGAAATTCACTCAACTACATTCATTCAAATGTAACACATTAAACATCACCGCCGATTAACAACCACGTATATAAACTAGCACTAAACAATATTATCCCTTATAGATTAGAATAGTATTAATACTTTAACCAGTTATGTGGTGGACTTTAGTATTTATGCTAACCATGTGCTCAACATGACAAACTCATGACTCAGTATTCATATAGCAAAACAACTGCGTTAAACACGCGCACAACTCGTTCATATTATTAACAGTGTTTTATGCTTAAATCCGAAGTGTTTTTTTTTCCATTATAATTTGCAGTTACCTTGTTAGTAACAAGACAATGAAGAGAAGGACGCATTTGTCTCTGCATTTACTACGAATGAAGCATCACTAGCGCGCGGGTTACTATGCAATGCGTGCGACGACGTTTGCATGGCTGAATGTCTTCCTCTTATCTGAGTTACAAAGTATTTTTTAAATAATCCATGCGATCACTCCCGTCCCGTGTGATAACCAATCCATTTTAAATTAACTCAAATACAATACTTCAACTTTCCATATCCACCCCAGCCCGTTTACCTTCAGGAGTCAGAAGGCCTACTGTCCTCGCTTAACTGTCAGACGGCGGGCGCGTGCGAGTCGAAGGCGGATCGACGTCATCTTGTTCCTATGCCAGACACCAAACCATGTGCTGAAATTTCCTAAAAACTGTGGGTCAGATGGGGTGCACTGCCCAGAACCTGCCTAACTAATCAAGGTCTTTGAGTTTACTTAAATATCACAGTCAGGTGTGTGTATGAGGAACTAGGTTTTGTGTAAATCATTGAAATAAAAATATTAGCAACACTGAACCAATCAAATTAACAGTGAATTTGTAAATGGGTTGCAGCAACTATAGCAAACATTTCTTGGACAGGAAAAGATGAGCAACTCAGAAGTGTTTTCTGAATGTGTGAGAGTTCACAGCCGTCCGCCTAAACTGGGTTCACAGATGATGTTGTGTGTGGGTGTTTAACAGTGCGGTCAAACTAACTGAGTTCTCAACGCCAGCGAAGACATACTTCTGAAACACCATTACTGTGGACAGCAAGTTCGGTCCGACACTCGTGAAGTGTGTGCAGATACTTTCTGTTTCACCAAACTGAGCTGATGTTAATCTTCAAAATACCTTAAACTGTTTTAGTATTAATTGTATACAAGTTAGTCGTGAATATTGGAAACCTTTTTAGAAACAAACCAATTGTATCACTAATAATGTCATTTTTTTTCTAGATTTTAGCGTCATGCGATAAACTGCTAAAAGAAAGAAGTGAGAGTAACAGTAATTCTCTTGTGTGCAAAAGTAGCCAATAAACTGTTCAGATCAGATGTGTGTTGAGACAGTGCTGTTAACAGCATATGCACTTCTCACATGTTTCACACACACACACACACACACACACACACACACACACACACACACACACACACAGAGAGAGAGAGCAACACTTCACTGTCATGGACTGACAGTGTCACTATAGCAACAGATGTCAAAAGTTCATCAGATAAGATGAAGTTAATAACCACAGGAGGAGCTGATGATGATTAAAGGAGGAGCTGTAACTATATCTAATGAAGAGGAAGAGCTGTCACTATATCTAATGAAGAGGAAGACGGACAGAAGCAGAAATGTCTGATCAGTGTGATCTGTGTCTGCTGGGACTGATCATTCTCTCTTCACTTCTCACAGGTAAAGAAATCTGTATTTTCTCTAAACACATTTAGTGGAATTAGTCTGGAAAGAGTTGATTTGAACATGCTCAGTTTATTCTTGCACACATTCACATTGTGATCTCAGAGTTGTGTATTGATACACACACGTTATACAAAAAGATACACTTGAGAATCGATCATCCGTTTATTCGTCAACACCAAACGTTACACCACCTCGTTCGTGCTCTAACAACAACAACCGCACTTCCGGGAACTTTATAATATGAGTCCGATTTTATTCCCGGTAAACAGTCATGTGAAATCTTAAACAATATTCAGCACAGAGGTTTAATGCGCATGAACACATTTTTTGTCTTAAACTTAAACTCCAACTCTTCAAAAAAAAAAAAATGTAATAATGATCTTTCAATTCAGCATACTAACAGGACTGAACAACAACTTCCTTGAACAGAAATACGGCCTAGTATATTTTAAGAAGCTCTCGAGTCCAACTCAAAGACAGGCTGTTTTAATGGCTCTGGAAGCCCCAGATTCAATCTGAATAGTTATGCTCAGAGTGTCTCCCCCTCGATGTAACCCCTCCCCATTAAGCTCTATGATAATGTGAAGGTGTGGGTGATACAATGAGGCTGATTGGATTACCATCTATACAAGACACTGTTATGCTGATGAGATCAGGGATGGGGAATTTCCAGTAACGAGCTGAATCCTATGCCTCATTTACATGCTTTGTTTCAGAGTGTCTACACCTCTATGTAACCCCTCCCCCTTGTAAGGTATATGAACACAAAGTATTTTGCCTTTAGTCAGACTCGGCTAAGATTTTTGGATGAAGCAGACTACAGCAATGCAACAGCAATAAAGAACCCTGCTTTAAAAGATACTTCCAAGTCTCCATGCGGTGAGCTCTGCGCCGTAGATCGAACCGTTTCTGGACCCGAATAGCCAGGTCGATGAGATCGTCGAGCCGAGTAGGAACCTCCTGAATGAGGATCTCATCCTTCAACTCAGGAATGAGACCCTCCATAAAGTGAGCGACCAACGCAGGTTGATTCCAGCCGCAGGTGGTAGCGAGGGTCTGAAATTCAATAGAGAAATCAATCCCCTGCTGGAGAGCAGAAAACAGTCGAGAAGCCTGATCGATCGAAGACACGGATCTCATCCTTGAAATGCCTAAAACTGAGATGCAATCCGTCTCCACCTCCCAGTTGGCCACTCCCCATTCCCAAACCTGGAATATGTGAGGGACCTTAACCCGCTCCTTAGCATACGTCACGGCTGAAGGGAAAATACCACCTCGCACTGGGTAAGAAAGAGCGACATTGTGTTGGCTCACCCGAATAGACAGGAGGATTATTAATCCGCGGCTCCAGCGAGTCGTGAGAAGCCGGCGAGGTTGAAGGCTGGAGGAGTCTATTATAGACCTGACATGAGAGATCGGCCGTCTGAGCGACTCGAAAGCGTGTCTGGTGGCGGAAATGTCCTCCTCATGTTTGCCCAGGAGGACACCCTGGAGTTCGACTGCAGACTGGACCGAGCTGCCACTCGCTGAGTCCATGTTCTGGTCAGATCGCTCTGTGATGAGGTTAGAGAAATGAGGTTAGGACAGGACTGTAAAAACACTGGTCAATGAGTAACTGTGACATCCAACAATCTGACAACAAGACAGAGAAAGAGAGGGTTAGGCTACGTCCACATTAATCCGGATACATTTGAAAACGGGGTTTTCGTTTAAAAACGCTCTCCGTCCACACTAGCGTTTTCAGGTGTTTTCCGACGTTTCAGTGTGGATGAGAAACTTCTAAATTCACTTTACTGCGCATGCGTGAAACTTCACAAACGCTCACTGAGATGATACAGATGGGAAAATAAATAATAATCGCACAATAACAGGATAATTTTATTTAGCAAAATATCTCACCATCACGGATGCGTCCAGGTCGCATTCAGTCACCATGTGTTTTGTCTAAAACGCAACTGCTCTCCTGTTTTGCCGCAGGACAGCAAATGTGAGTAGACTACATTATCTGTCATCTTTGCAGTACTGTGCTATGAAGAATAGCACATATTAAGTAACATAGAAAGTAACATATTTTAGCAATAGTGTAAAAATGAATAACACATAACAGGCACAATACCGATGAACATGAATATCTATTGGTACTACATGGATCACGACTAAACTTACGTCATCGTTTTGAAATACCTCCGGTTTCACTGTCCACACTACAACGCGAAAACGGCGTTTTCAAATTTATCCACTTTGGAGAGCATTTTCCAAACGATACGTTTTTGTTGACTTAAAACAGCGTCTCAGTGTGGACGGAAGGCCAAAACGGAGAGAAAAATATACGTTTTCAAACGAAAAGGTACTAGTGTGGACATGGCCTTAGAAGAAGACAAGATAATGAGGAGATGAGGAACAGGTGGAGAGGAATGAGCAGAATGAAAAGAGAAAACAGCTGATCAAGAGAACAGGGGAACAAATGTATTATGTGCAATGATGAGAAAGAAGAAAAATGGGTAACACTTTAAAATAATGGTCCGTATTTAAAGGGCACCTATTATGGAAAATTCACTTTTACATGGTGTTTGAACATAAATGTGTGTTGGCAGTGTGTGAGCAAAACCACCCTAGAATGATAATAATCCACCCAGTGGTTTTTTTACAATCTCAATAAATCATATGCACTGTCTCAGAACGAGCTGTTCTGAGATCCAGCTCTTTGTGACGTAGAAAGTGAGAAAGAGGTTTGATTGACAGTATGGCTGTGGCCTAGACCCCGCCCTCGGTGATCTGTACACATCATCCTCCATTGTTTCAACGACAGCCGGTAATGTCTCTTGGAAACATAACTTAAGTGTTCTGTCGTGGACAAGTGGATTAATCCTGTTGTTGTGGCTTAAAAATTAATCCTCAAGTGTGGATCGTCATCTACTGTTTGCGATCCACCGTCACATCCAGTAACAGTAAGTGTATTTTATGATTTTTGAGCAAATAGTCTTTTCAGTCGATGTCAGCCAATTCAACAACAAATGCGTCTAAAGTTGGTGTCGTCGTAGGATGTCTGTGTATATAATTTAAACCTTGTTTGTATAGTGCGTTTATAAATATATATATTTTTAAAGGTATTGTATTAAAATTATGTTTATTCTGCCGGAGTCTCTTCGTACTATTTATTTATTCCGATTCAAACGTACGCTGAATGACATTCAAAATAGCGCGTCTCTCACTCCCCTTCTGCTTAGACCGACTGCCATAGGTATCAAGTGACGCCCTCATCCAAAGGCAGGGCGGGGATATGCAGCTCATTTGCATTAAAGTGGCATGCCTCAAAACAGCTCATTTTCAAACAGGCCCCAAAATGACATTTTCAAATGGTTATAATAAATTAACTGTGGGGTATTTTGAGCTGAAACTTCACAAATACATTCTGGGGACAAATGTCCCCCACAAATGACAAAGTAACGCTTAAGTAGTTATTGAAGAGTTAACATGTTTTTCACAAATGATACAAGTTATTTCATTTTATATTTGACACATACTGTACAGGTTGTGTGAGGCACTAATATTCTAACAAACACTGTAATCTGGAAGATGTGGTTTTGGGCGTATCTGTCACGACACACACAGGAGAGAGACAGCAGATCAAATTGCAGTAAAATGTTCTTTTAATAGGGTAATCCGTAAATCATAATCCAGTCCAGGCAGGGGTCAAAATCCAATAAGGCAATTCAAATACAAAACAAAAAAAGATAAATACTAGCACCAACCTTGAAATCACACCTGCAGTGTGGGACAAATTACAACGACTCCGTACACATACTAACACAGACAGGGAATATATACACAGATCTAACAAGACTAACACAGAACAGCTGGGAACAATGATTACGGGGAACAGCTGAGTGCAATGAACAGATGAGTGACAGTGACAGACAGAATGCTGGGAAATGCAGTTCCAGAAGTACATGACACTGAGGGGAAGGAGGACATCTAGTGGACAAACAAGGGAACACAACCAGACACTGTGACATTATCGTAACATAAATGCAGCCAATTTCTTCATTAAAGATGCTAATTGTTTTTGACAAGTGATCAATGTTTATATTCATGTCCTAAAGAGAAGTCCTCTTCAGGCAGCTACTGTAATATAAAGTTATAGGTCTTTGGAGTCTGAGATATATGTGACTGACATTCAATAGAGCTCATAATAGTGAACTAATCCAATCATGAGAGCGTCAGCATCACTTCCTAATTATTTAAGGTTTATTTTTAAAAACTGTCTTTATTAGGATTATTTTATGTTTAAGTTTTAAATAAACAGAGAACATGCGTCCATCCTGGCAAGAGTAGTGGTCACAATCTCAACCTAGCTAATGTATTTGGGGGGATGTATAAACTTCATAAACTGGTTTCCACAAAGAACCCATTTGAGACACGTGCTTCTGAAATGTTATGACCATGTTAAGAGTAAAACCCCCACAATTGTTCACTTTTTAGACATGTTAAATTAATTGGTTATTATTTCTTAGTTCACAAGTAGTTCTCAATGATGATATATTTCTTTAGTAACAATCAAATACCTACCAAGGAACTACCTTTGTACTAAATTACCTATTACTTAATGCTTAGTTAATATTGCTTCCATATTAGTTAATAGTATTAAGTCCGGTGTTAATGCAGTACTACCTATTACTTCCTGCATAGCTACTTGTTAACAACGGACCATTATTTTAAAGTGTTACCGAAAAATGTAGAAAGAAAAGTCTTCCCTATACTTCCCTACTCTATCTATCAAAAGAACAATGGCAGCGAACTGTACAGATATGCGACTGACACATTAGCTGGTAAGTATTCAACTGCCTTTATTACCATTTCGTGACGTTACCCTTTGCTGCTACGGTGGCCTCTAAGGATCCAAAAGTGTCTCACAAGATATCATTACATCTCCCTTTTTTCAGTAAACAAAAACAGATTCACTGTGCATTCTTTAAGCAGAAACATAAATATATAATTTTTTCACAGAGGTTGCCAGTACTCGCCTCATTCAAGAAAGACAGACTTTGTCACGATTACTTTAGCCTAACCTAAGCATGGAACATGACTCAACTATAAGGCTATACATTACCTGATGAACTCATGACCAGATAACTAAGGCTCAACACAAACTCATGACCAGATAACTGAGGCTCAACACATTTAACTGTTTTTTTTTTTTTTTTTTTTTTTTTTTTTTTTAACAAATAAACTTGTTATACCTCAACTGTGTAATAATGAGCTTAAAGCCGTCTGCTATAAATCAAGTCTGTCAGGGGCTTTTCTAATGCGCTCTGACCGTCTCGCTGGAGCTGCCTCTGGCTCCGTCATGACAGGTGCATTGTCATCTAAAACCCCTGGCTGATTGTTTGTTGCTGTTCCATGCTCTGCACATTTGTCCTTGTACTCCTCTACTGAAGGAACTGCATTGCTGGCCTTTGTTTTAAGTAGCTGCACCCTGTTTCGTCTGACCAGAGCCCCGGTGTCCGTCTGGACTGCATATGACCTCGGAGCCACTTCATTCAGCACTGTTCCAGAGCGTTGCCAGTCCTGTCTTTCTGTGTTGAAAACTCTGACTCTGTCACCCGCCTGCAGAGGTTGCATTGCTTTTGCTGTGCGATCAAAGTATCTCTTTTGTTTTTTCTTTAATTTTTTCATGGCCTCCAGCACAGGTGTGTGGACTTGTTTCTTCACTGTTGGGATCTGTGTCTGTAGTCGTCTGCCCATGAGCAGTTCAGCCGGAGACTTCCCACTCTCCAGAGGTGCTGCTCTATAAGCCAGCAGAGCCAAATAAGGATCCTCACCATTCTCTGTTGCCTTTGTCAGAAGACTTTTCACTATCTGAACACCCTTTTCAGCTTTGCCATTTGCCTGTGGAAAGTGTGGGCTTACTGTGATGTGTTCAAATCCATACTCTCTGGCAAACTGCTTGAACTCCTGACTGGCATACTGAGGCCCATTGTCCGAGACGACAGTTCCTGGAATGCCATGTCGTGCGAAGCTACACTTCATATGCTTAACTATTCCTGTTGCTGTTGTGCTCGTGAGCAAAGCCATCTCAGGATAGTTGGAGTAGTAGTCGATCATCAGTAAATACTCTCTGCCTCTGAAGTGGAACAGGTCCGTCCCAATTTTTTCCCAGGGGTGCTCCGCCCTCATGTCTGTGAGCAGCGGTTCTCTTTGCTGTCTGTTATGGTAAGTAAGGCAAGTGGCACAGTCATTGATCATCTCTGCTATGTCACGATTCATGCCTGGCCAGTAAACAGTCTGTCTGGCTAGTCTCCTTGTTTTTTCTATGCCCAAGTGCCCTCTATGCAGTATTCGGAGGACCTCCTTCCGAAGCTTTGTTGGGATGACTATTTGATCACCTTTCAGCAACAGGCCATCAGCTACTGCCAACACATCCTGGAATGAGTAGTACTGCGGGCACGCTTGCTTTGGCCACTCATTTCGCATGTGCCATATCACTTTCTGGAGCTGGCGGTCCACTGCCGTCTCCATTACTATTTTCTCTTTCAGTGTAGAGCTCACAGGTAGAGCCTCCATCACAGCATCCACGTGGCCTCTTATGTCTTCATCTTCCTCTGTGCCGTCTGTGTTCAGTCCTTGTGCTGGTCTGGCCCTTGACAGAGCATCAGCCACTACCAGGTATTTCCCCGGCTTGTATGACAGTTCATAGGTATACTTCTGTAGACGCATCATCATACGCTGAATGCGTGGTGTCATCTCATTCAAGTGCTTTTTGCTGATAGTTATGAGTGGCTTGTGATCAGTCTCAAGTTCAATGTGTGGCAAGCCAAAGACATAAGAGTGGAACTTGTCACAGCCAAAGACGAGCCCCAGACACTCTTTTTCTATCTGCGCGTATCTTTGTTCTGTTTCTGTCATGGATCGTGCAGCATAAGCCACTGGTTTCCAAGCCCCATCATGACACTGCAGCAAGACAGCCCCCAGTCCATCTTTTGAGGCGTCTGTGGAGATTCGTGTCTTCTTACTCGGATCAAAAAAAAACCAACACTGGCTCTGTGCTTAAAATGTCCTTGATTTCTTTCCACTCTTTGTCATGTGTCTGGTGCCAGGACCACTCTGTGTTTGACTGCAGGAGCTGGCGGAGAGCAACAGTCTTTGCGGCAAGATTAGGCACAAACCTTCCCATGTAGTTCACCATCCCTAATGCTCTTTGTACCGCCTTCTTGTCTGTTGGCTCGGGCATGTCAGTCACTGCTTTGATTTTGTTCATGTCCGGCTGTACTCCTGCCGGTGTCAGTCGATCCCCAAGAAACGTGACTTCTTGGGTGCTGAACTGGCATTTCTCCTTGTTCAATCTGAGCCCGTACTTGTGGACTCTCTGAAGTGCACTATGCACTCTGCTGTTGAGCTGTTCTTGGGTCTCTGCCCATATTATGACATCATCAATATAAACCCTGACCCCCTCCAGTCCTTCAAACACATTCTCCATTGCACAGTGAAAAATTTCTGGTGCTGAGGAAATTCCAAAGGGGAGTCTCTGATAACTGTAGCGCCCAAAGGGCGTGTTGAAGGTGCATAGGTCTGCGCTTGTACTGTCAATTTGCAACTGCCAAAATCCATGTGACGCGTCAAGTTTTGTGAACCACTTTGCCCCAGCCATCTCACTCAGAATCTCTTCTCTCTTGGGAATTTGATATTGTTCTCTGAGGATGTTTTCATTGAGGTCTTTTGGGTCCATGCATATCCTGAGAGCTCCATTTGGCTTCCTCACACAGACCATTGAGTTGACCCACTCTGTGGCTCCCTTGGTGGGTTGAATGACATTTAATGCCACCATTCTGTCCAGTTCTTTGCGAAGATCTTGTCTCAGTGGAACAGGAATTCGACGTGGAGCATGCACCACAGGTCTAGCATTATCCTTCAGTTTAATGCTGTATGTGAACGGCAGCACCCCTATGCCATCAAAAATATTGGGATACTGCACTTCCCAGTTGTCTGCTTGTGATGTGGTGACTTCTGCATTTTTCAGCTCTGTCTTGGCAATGTTTAGAACACGTTTAACAAGTCCCATTTCCTCACAAGCTTGATCTCCCAGCAGGGAGTCCTTCCCTTTCGGCACTATCACAAATAGTAGATGTCTCTTAATGTGCTTGTTCTGGACTTGTAATCTGCAGACGCCCTGTGTTTCAATCATTTGTCCATTGTAAGCTCTCAATCCCACTTTTTTGTTTTCTATAACTGGCTTGTGGCGCAGAGCTTTGAAGTCTTTTAATGTGATAAGATTTGCCATGGCTCCTGTGTCAAGTTTCATGTGAATCTCTGTGCCATTTACTTTAAGTGGCACAATCCACCTGTCTACATTTATTGTGTTCACACTAACTTGCAGCTTTGAAGTGCCCTTATTTTCCACAGTGACAGTGTCTGTATAGAATATGTCATCATCATCATAGCCTTGTTCGCTGTCTTCCATCATATAAATTTGTTTCTTTTCTCTGGCAGAAAGGCACACTTTTGCAAAATGATTTTTTTTTCTGCACCTCGAGCAAACCTTCCCATATGCAGGGCATTGCCTGAAGCGATGTTTCCCACCGCAGCTTCTACAGTTCATGACGTAGTCTGATCCTGTTTCACGTGCATTAGAACGTTCCCCCTCTGAGCGAGGTACGCTAGCTCTGACCACCCTGTCAACGCCCCCTGGCGCTTCAGTAGTAACAGATGGCTTCTCAAAAATCTTTATCTGTTTCTCAGTCTGTTCGCTAGCTCTGCACATTCTGATTGCATCTTCTAATTTCAGACTGTCCTCCCTTAGCAGGCGTTCCCGCACCTTTTTATTGTGTATTCCAAATACTATCTGATCACGCAGTATGGAGGACTGCATGTCGCCATAGTTACAGGATTGCACTTTCAGCCTCAGATCAGTCATATATGAGTCAAACGATTCATCTTGCTGCTGAACACGGCAACGAAAAACATGTCTCTCGTATACTTCGTTCTTTTTCGGACTACAGTATGCATCGAACTGCTCCAGAACTTTGTTCAGTTTGTTTTTATCTCCCACCTCCGTGAACTCAAACGTATTGTATATTTCTATTGCTTGTGTTCCTGCTATAGTCAGTAACAATGCCACTTTCCTCTCACCGCTCTTGTCGTTGGCGCCAGTTGCAGTCAAATAAAGTTGAAACGCCTGTTTAAACTGTTTCCAGGCATAATCAATATTTCCTGTGAGCTTCAATGGTTCTGGTGGTTTTATGACGTCCATCCCGTCTTTCTCACACTGACATTAACTATTTAATACTTTTACTCCTGGTACCATGTACAGATATGCGACTGACACATTAGCTGGTAAGTATTCAACTGCCTTTATTACCATTTCGTGACGTTACCCTTTGCTGCTACGGTGGCCTCTAAGGATCCAAAAGTGTCTCACAAGATATCATTACACGAACGGCACATGCCCCTAAACCTAGTGTGTGTAAACTAAATAAATCAGAACTAAGTGTGTCCGACGTACGTCACGTGACATCACTTCCCTTTTATATATGTAGAAATAAAGGCCAGCGCATCAGCCGTTGATTAGCATTATACATACGGGAAAGTAAAAGGAGGGAGTTGTGACCCCTATAGACAACAGTGTGCCGGATGGAAGAGCCGAAGTAAACTTCACAGAACTGCAAGAAAAACAACAACGCCAAAGTTTCCTTTTCAACTGTCGAGTAATTCCCTTGATGTTTATCAAACTTACGGGAGAAAAAGCACACTGATGGTCCACATCCTCGCCGTCTAGAAGCAAAACTGCTCCAGTAACTCCATGTATCCGCGCTCGCATCAACTTACAACTCAAAGAGCGATCCAAACTCAGCCGAAACTGGGCAGCTTTACAACAGAGCTTTAACACTCTCAGATGCAGTCGAGAGGACAAATATCATCATTTAATACTTCTGTTTATATCATCATGATCACTGAGATATACTGTGTTTCAGGAACCAGTGGAGATGATCATGTGTTCATCAGTTCTGGTGTAGATGTCTCTCTGTCCTGTAATAAACATCTTTCTGACTGCAAATCAACATCATGGACCTACAAGAACAGATTCGGAGATTCATGGGTTAAACTGATTACTGGAGGGATAAAGAATAAAGACACAGAGAGACATGAGAGACTGAGTCTGGAGTCTGACTGCTCTCTGAACATCAAGAACGTCACAGAAGAAGATTATGGATTATACACCTGCAGACAATATGTGAACGGACAGAAACAAGGAACTGATGCTGATGTTTATCTGCATGTTCTTCATGGTGAGTTTATGATTATGTGTTCAATATAAAAAGAGCAGATTCTCCCTTTAAACTCAGATGATGATTGAAGAGTCTGTGATTTGTGTCTTGTGTTCAGTTTCAGTGTCTCCATCTTCATCATCATCATCTTCATCATCATCATCTTCATCCTCACAGACTGAGATCAGTCCAGGCCGCTCTGTGACTCTCTCCTGTCAGTTGTATTCTGTATTCTCCTGTGATGATCGGGTTCATTCTGGGGGAGTTGAGCTGTTGTGGGTGAATCAGGCTGGTGTTGATCTGAAGACAGACTCCAGATATCAGATATCATCATCATCATCATCATCTCCACGTCGCTGTATCATCACTCTGACTACAACACTCCTGGATGAAGATGACAACAGAGAGTGGAGATGTCAGCTTACTCGGGGAAATCAAGTCCAGACGTCAGTCAGATACACTGTCAAGTATTCAGGTGAGGAAACAGTGTTAGAAGAGCCTCATGATGTCAGGAACACTGAGGTCTATCAGTATCACTGAACCAGAACAAACTGAGGGAACAAAAGCTGCTTTGACTCTCACAGAAGAGGAACTCAAAGCGTTGCTTCAAACTAATGAACTGCAGTGAAGTCACAGTCCAACTGTTCACTCTTTATGTAATGTGATGATCACAGTTAAAATATGATGCTCATATTGTACAGTATGAATCATCTGAACTAACATTGATCTTCACAGCTCAAGCTGATTCAACGACAGCAGTGAATCCAGTCCACATCACACACTCTCAGGATCCCTCAACTATAAACACACACGTTTCTAAAGGTACATCATCACTGTCTTTCTCACATCAGTGCTTTTCAGTGCGTAATGCTGGAGTTATCTTCAGTGTTCACTCATCTAAATATGACTGTCATATTCTACAGGACCATTGGCACATTGAGTTGTTTCAAGAGTGTTTTGTCTTTGTCTATAATTGTCCTCAGTCTGGCCTGTCCGTCTCTGACTCTGAGCTCGATCTCTTCTTCAGTCATAGGGATTTCTGTCGCTGCAGTCGCTGTTCTCCTTCTTGCTCTTCTCTGGCTGATCTGCAGAAAAACAGCTGGTGAGATTCACATTTACTCCTTTACAACAATTAAAAACAGTTCAGATGAGCAAACAAACACATCACATTCAGAAACATGTGGATTATCTGAAATCTCCTGCTCCTGTAATGTCAATCTCAACGAGATATCAAGTCAACAATCATTTAATGCTTCAACAAACTCTGATTGTGCATAAATACTCATATTTCACGAGGCACTTGTTTTCAGATAATAAAGTGGGGACTGGCGACTCTGCGGTGAGTTCAGGAATGCAGTGATTTAGATTTGATTATTGTCTTTAAAGCTCAATAAAGTGTCATTCATGCAGTTGAACTGTTTATTCTGAAGGTCAAAGATGAGGATGAACATAAAGGGACGTATGAGACGATCAACATGTCCATTCCTCCTGATCTAAGAGCCGATGTGAGTCTCTAAATCATCAAACATTACGCTTTAAAAGCTTTTGTGTTATTCTCCATGTTATAGTGAGAGAGATGTGTGTTAAACTCGACTCTCTGTACGTTTGCATTGATGTTTAGGAGCAGACAGATGATGTGACTTATTCTGAGGTCTCTTCTTTCAACACAAAGCCAGTAAAATCACTGGATGTGAGTCGACGCCAGCACACGAGTTTGACTCTCAGATAAATGATGCTCTAATAATGGTAATAATAATCGCTGTGGTTCAAACATTGATGGACAGAATCTGTTCTTTCAGGATCATGATACCGTGACTTACGCTGCCATCAGAGGAAGAGAAGATAAACCGCAGGATCAACTTTACGCCTCTGTGAACAAGAACAAGACCTTCACAAATACACATTAATGACACAGATCATGCCCACTGAGCAAAATGATGTCCAAAAGACGTCTTTTCAACGTCTTTGTCACAAATGGTCGGACGTTGAAAAGACGTCCACTGAGGGGCCGGAATGAAAGTTTTTATAACGTCTTTTTTTGACGTGTTCTGGACGTCTTAAAAAGATGTTAATGGATGCTTCGTACAAGGTTACAAACTAGTTCAAATGTGGCCATTTTCAACATTATTTATGGTATCATTTAGACAATTTATACTGTTTCTTGACCAAATAAACACTCTCATGATGCATTAAATTAAAACTCAAGTTTATTTCAATGTAATTTCCTTACATTGTTTAGATGGTGATATTTATTTTATTTTGAGTCACCATTGTGGTGATCAGTGTTTGCTGTAGTTGGGCTCTTGGTCCCAATAATTAGTATTCTAGCTTTTCTTTGGCTGTTGTAACTGTGTGTTTGAATAACACCAATGTTGTGACAGAGAAAGCCAAGAAAATTGACTCTCATCAGCTCCTTGTTGTTGTTGTTGTTAATGATGGTGATGATGATGATGATGAAATCAACATAAAGTGGGCATTTAACGTTGTGTTTAGACTTTTGTGTTTGTATCTGGAGTTTATAACCACCAATGTTGTGGAACTGCATTAGTAGCATGGAAGTTGGACAAAAAGCAAATTTACACAATGTTTTGAGAAAATCTACCATAGAGTCACACACAGACATGAAGATTTTGCATATGATTCACAAAAATGCTTCATGCTGCAATGCATGATGGGTAGCTTTCATAGTACAAAACATCCTCGATTCCCAGGCTTTTTTGTTTTGGTTGTCGCCGTCGTTGAGAATCATATGCAAAATCTTGATATCTTGTGTGTGACTATCTGATTCACTTTATTAAAACATATTATACACAGTGGTCATTATAAAATTACTGGTCCAAATAATGCAGTTCTAAAAGGTGAATAATTATTTCAGATATAAAAACAGAAGTTTAGATGTTGTTTAATGCTTGCATTGCGTTGATTTTGTCATCATCAACAAGCAGCTGAAGACAGATGATCTTTTATTTTCTTGGCTTTCTCTGCACAATCAATGGTGTTATGCAAACAGTTACAACAGCCAAAGAAAAGCTAAAGTAAGAAGAATTGGGACCAAGAGCCCAACTAAAGCAAACACTCATCACCACAATGGTGACTTAAAATGAAACAAATATCACCATCTAAACAATGTAATGAGTTTTAATTTAATGCATCCCGAGAGTGTTTATTTGGTCCAGAAACAGTATAAATTGTCTAAATGAGGCCATAAGTTATGTTGAAAACATTTCCACAATGGCCACATTTGAACTAGTTTTTAATCTTGTCCGAAGGATCCATTAACGTCTATACCGGACGTCCAGAACACGTCACAAAAAGACATCATAAAACCTTTCATTCCGGCCCCTCAGTGGACGTCTTTTCAACGTCCGACTTTTGTGACAAAGACGTTTAAAAGACGTCTTTTGGACATCACTTTGCTCAGTGGGTGAGTCATCACATCAGGAGCCGACGGGAAGATTTCATCCGGTGTTTGGAGGAATGAGTGTGTGAACGAGCAGATATTTGTTGAATGTGAATCATCATCTGGTCTGTCGTCGGTCAGAGCGCAGGATCTCCTCTATATCATCACCGCTACAGTAAAGATGGAGATTATCCGCTCTGAAAACCTTCATCTTCATCATCCTCTTGCTTCAGCTTGTATATCAGCGCTTTCTTCTACAGAGAGACGTCCGTCTGAGAAGTACATCAGTGTTTTCATTATACTGGCATAAAATAGTTAAAGTAATTTGCAGTGTGTATATGTTACGAAATTAAATGTCAGTTATTGCTTTTCTCACATGTGACAATAAAGAGCAAGACAAATCATGGGTTAAAGAAAAGTGTTTGTGTCCTCCATTCCTGTAGAAACACACACAACTAAACTTGCTCTTGTTAGCTGGAAAGTTGTTTTAAAATAATAAATTCGAGAGCTTGTAGATTTGAATTTGAGCAGAAAATATTGATGTTTGTGAACTGAAATTTACCCTCATAGTTCTGATGTGAAAGTCTGAATGTTTCGATTCACACAGACCATAAACTAGTCAGACGTTCCCAACTAAGACAAACGTGCAGCGAAGGGTTTATTATGATGAGCATTGCACTGACCTCGTACCGTATGCACACCGATGATGAGGAAACGATGGAGTCTGGTCATCTACAGCTTTCAGATGAGCTTCTGGAGTCGGGGTTTCATCCCTGTTATAGGAATTAAGTCTCATTCAGTGAGAGTCGGTAGTGATGAGTGAACTTCTCCATCTGTCCATTCTACACTTACTCCCCCGAGAAAATGTGGATTTCTCAGACCTACATTTCTGCATTTTAAGGTGTTTGAAGGTCATAAAAATGGTATTTAAAAGCATGTTGCATAAAAGATTACAGATTCTTAAATATGAGAATGAGGATAAATGTTGAAATGAATGATGAATGAATGTTTCTGCTTATTGTTGACACACAATCCATATTCCGATCAGGAATGGCCTTAATGAGAAATCTTTCAAGGATTATTTTGCATAGATGTTATTTCAATCAAACACCAGTGCAATCTTTTTGTGTCCAGAGGAAAATGAGCAATTTATATTGTGGTGAGCAGGACGGCCGAGGGACGTGAGAGAAAGTCGCGAGGCCGGTGTTGCGATTGCTAATGAGCAGCACCTGCGAAGCACACTCTCGCATCTCGCATCTCTCACGAAGGAGCGGAGCCATAAAGGGGGAGCGACGGAGTGGATGATCGAGAGAGGAACAGGCCTGCTTTTATTTGTATTTTATTTGGTAAGCCAGCAGTCGTCCGTGAGGGGCTGCTGGCCGGTATTTATGTTTTATTTTGGGTAGCCAGCAGTCGTCCGCGAGGGGCTGCTGGCCGGTATAATTTGTTTGTTTATTTTATTTAAATAAAGTTTTATTTTATTATTATTATCCGGTTCCTGCCTCCTTCTTCCCTGAACCTTGTTACACTGGTGCCGAAACCCGGGAAGAGGGAGGAACGCGCTGTCCGAGGGTCCTCGCCGCTGTGGGGAATCCGCGGTGCCATCGAGCATGGTGCGCGAGTCGCCGCCGCTCGCCGTGGGCCGGAGCCTGCTGCCGTCCGCCGCAGATGGGGAGGAGCAGGGAGCGGGGGACTCGCGGCCATGGACGCTCGAGGTGGGGCGCTGGGGTGAGTTGCCGGTGGGACGCCCGAGCTCGCCGCCGACCGCCTGGGAATGGAGGGGCGGCTGCCTTCCGGGAGGGAGAGGAGGAGTCACCGCCGCTCGCCGTGGGCCGGAGCCTGCTGCCATCCGCCAGTGAAGGGGAGGAGCAGGGAGCGGGGGACTCCTGCCGTCTGCCCAAGGCACCCGAGGAGCCGTCGCCGTCCACCGGGGGCGGGGGAGCGTCGAGGCGTTCACCGAGGGCCATCCAGCGTCGCCGCCGGGCACCGCGGAGGAGATCGCCCAGCGGGTGAGGGACAAGATGGCAGCGCGTTGTGGGAGCCGGACTATTTTTTTTTTTTCCTCTCTCCCCTCTCTCGTGTCCGTCGCTCCTCAGGCTTCCGTCTCCGTTTCCCTCGGCTCGTCGATCCATACCCCCCCAGGGATCGCCGCCGCCGGGGGGGAAGTAGGCACAGTCTCGGGTGTACCCCCCGGCCTGTGAGGGGTGATGGGGGTATGTGGTGAGCAGGACGGCCGAGGGACGTGAGAGAAAGTCGCAAGGCCGGGTTGCGATTGCTAATGAGCAGCACCTGCGAAGCACACCGGTCTCGCATCTCTCACGAAGGAGCGGAGCCATAAAGGGGGAGCGACGGAGTGGATGATCGAGAGAGGAACAGGCCTGCTTTTGTTTGTGTTTTATATTTTATTTGGTAAGCCAGCAGTCGTCCGCGAGGGGCTGCTGGCCGGTATTTTATATTTTATTTTCGGTAGCCAGCAGTCGTCCGTGAGGGGCTGCTGGCAGCTATTTTGTTTGTTTATTTTGTTTAAATAAAGTTTTATTTTATTATTATTATCCGGTTCCTGCCTCCTTCTTCCCTGAACTTTGTTACAATTACTTACAATTTTCCACAGCTTACATTGTCGGGAGTTTTTTGTCAACTGACATTTGTTTAGAAAGATATTTTTCCAGTGTTTCATGAGCGGAACAATCCGAAAACACATTAAATAACAGTACAGCATTGAAGAGATGCAAGTCTATCCCTCACAGCCTCACTTTCATTATCATTAAAAATCAAAGATGGCGCTGCCGTGAATAAGGCGTATGTGTGGGAAACACTGCATAAGTCACGTGCAAACTTCTCAGCTCAGCACTGACAGCTTATAGCGTCGAGTTTCTTAACTTTTTGCTGACGAAAGGAAAGCCGCTTCGCCATGCTTTCATTGATTTGATTTCGTCATTGGAGCTAAAATGACGGGTTGTGGCCCGGTCTGCATTTTCTCCAGACATACGTTCTTCTCATACACAAAAACAGAATTTCAAACCAAATATGTAAAATTTCATGAAATTCCGCGTTAACACTAGATTCCGCGTTAATTGTCCGATTCCGCAATTCCGTGATCGCGGAAATCATAGGGCCCTCACCTCCTGAAGTGGTGATCAGATTTACACCTGTTCTTTTTACGATCACTATTTGATCAGAGAAGTGACCAGGTGTAAACAGGCCCATAGTGTCTTTGCTGTGTTTCGCATGGACATTTGCCAAACATTTTTTGTCAGACAACAAATGTGGAATTATCAAGATATTAGACTCATTACAGCATTTTTATATTTATTGGATCAGTACGTTTTTTGTTTCAAGAAAAAAATCCTTGAGGATTCATTAAATTGATCAGAAGGGATAGTTAAGACATTTATAATTCTACAAAAGATTTATTTTTCAAATATACTGTTATTTTTGAACTTTCTATTCATCGAAGACTAGTAGTGCTGTTGAAAATTTAGCTTTGCCATCGCAGAAATAAATTACATTTTAAAATATATTAAAGTGGAAAACTGTTATTTGAAATTGTAATATTTCACAATATTTTAGTCCAGTTATTTTCAAAAGTTTGTGCAGACTTCTCACTCAGAGGCAGAGAGAAAGCTTGTCAGGGTAAAAGAGGCTGAGAGAAGGGATGACAAACACCTTTGAAATGGCTGACATTAAAGTGTGGATGATGTGGTCTCTCTCTTTTT